GGGGCTGGCCGCTGTGCAGGGCCTGGTCGGACTCTGCGCGCTCAGCTCTGAGACCGGTGCCCGGCGTGGCCAGACCCGCGCATGGTCGGCACCGCTGGGCTCCGGCCCACGCCGAGGGCACCACCTGCTGGCAGCCACTCGCCCTGCAGCTTTCGGGACCTGGCCCGGTGCAACCGGTGGGATGGACGGACGCGCCAAGGCCCCCGCTGGCCCTGCTAGGAGCAGCCCTGGGAGGGAGGGGGGTTTCCCAGCCACGGGAGCAGCCCACCCATCCCCACCCCGGGGGCCCGGGCACCCAACACCAAGCCACATTTCCAAACAGAGGCATGTTAAAAAACCACATCCCCCAGGTACAAACGCGGGCGAGACCGGACTGCCCCCCCTTCCTGAAGCCCAGCGGCCCAGCAGCCTCCGGGTCCCGGTGGACGTGGGCAGGCCATGGCCAAATCCCTGGAGGGAGAGTGCCGGATGCCCGAGGCGTGGGCGGCTGCTGAGATCCACGCGGCGGCTGCCGGAGCTGTCTAGAAGGTCAAGGTGATGAGCGGCTGGTCCTCGGGGTCCTTGCTCTGGCTGGGGTCTTCGGGGGCTGCCCCCATGGTCGTCGACTTCTGGGACGGGGTGGAGGGGCTGGTGCCCCTGAAAAAGGAGAGAAGGCGCCTGCTGCAGGGGGGGTGCCTGCTGCCACCTGGCTGGGTCCCGATCCCCTCACTCCAGGAGGTGGGTGAGGGGCTCGGAAAAGTGCAGACTCTCCTGAGAGACCCCTCATCCGCCGTCAACCAATCTGGACCCGGTGCCAGCAGCCGCAGCACTGGATCTCCCCGCCACGGTACCCACGGCAGGGCTCCCCGCCCCATGCCACGGCCTGGGTGCTCCCGTGTGCTGGCACCAGGGCGAGGTGGGGGGCGGGGCACGGGGGCAGGCAGGCGCTCACCTGCGGGGGGTGGTGGGTGGCAGGGCGATGACGCGGGGCCGGGCCGTCAGCACCACCTCGCCGCGGCTGGCCTCGTGCAGGATGTTCTGCAGCGTGTTCTCCAGCACCAGCTCCGCCAGGGTCCTGAAGGCCGGCAGCCTGGGCGGGCGTGGAGGGCAGGGCAGGGTTACTTGGAGGGGGCAGGGGGCATCTGACCCACCACTGCAGCTGCCACCGGCCCCCATGGGGGCTGGGCACAGCTGCTCCTGTCTCTGGCGGGCACCAGCCGTGTTGGGAGAGCTGCCCGCGTTCCCCGAGCTGGGCTGGCTGAGCTGGGCACAGGGGGAAGGGTGAGGTGCAAGATTCCCATCCAGAGAGGTCCCCACGCCAACCTGTGCCCCCCACCCCATCACTCCTCAGCCCCCACTCACCTGGCAATCGCCTCCTTCTGCTCCTGGACCTGCTCCCTGTGCAGGATCTCGCCCAGGCTCTCCTGCAGGTCCTGGGGCACCTCAGGGCCTCCCTGCTCCTCTTCTTCACCTGCTCCTGGCTCTACTGTGGTGCCCGACCCTGGAGACGGAGGTGCGGCGGAGGCACTGCCCAGGATTGGGGGCCCGGCAGCCCACGGGGCTGACTCCTCGCTCCGGAGCTGGCAGAAGTAGGGCGTGGGCTCGGCCAGACCCTGGCTCACGGCCTCGTGAAACCGGGTGTCCTCCAACAGGCCCCTGGCAGGGCGGCAGCAGCCAGAGTCAGAGGCCTGCCAATGCCACGGGCGCCGCGGCCAGCCTGGCTCGGTCCCCTGCTACCCTCCAGCCATCGCCCCGCACCCCACAGCTCCCAGGCGGGCCCTGCCCAGGCCCCGAGGCACCGCCTCCACCGTTGCTCAGACCACTGGGCTCCCATCCAGGCAGCACTAGGATAGGGCCCATGGCGGGGGCAGGCTCCAGAGCGGAGCAGGGGGCTGTACCTGATCACCATGGCCAGCAGGTCCATCACCACCTGCCGCTCCTGCTCCGAGGAGCCGGCCAAGGCCAGCAGGACACACTCCGTCCCGGTGGCTCCTTGACCCCTTCTCCCGGCTGTGGGCTCAGCCCCCTCCGCCGGCTCCTTGAGTGGCCTGGAGAGGTGACAAGGCAGGGGGGTCACGGGGATTCGTGGGGCTGGGCAGGGGCAGGGGCAGGGGCAGGTACAGGGAGGAAGGAGGCGGGTTACAGCCCCCCTCTGCCACACTGTTGGGATGGCAGATGCTTCGGGCCCAGATCCCCTGGCACAAAAGTCCCGGGCACATTCTCTGCAGCAGAAGGGGATGAAACTCGGTCCCACTCAGGCTTGGCCTGCCCCGTGAGTTGGGGGCAGCATCCTCTCTCCCCGCCTGCTCTGGGGCTTTGTGGCGGTCCCCGGCATCCTCACCGGCAGAGGAAGTGCTTGGGGAAGTCGTCGCTGAAGCTGGCAAGGAAGTCATCGATGGCGTGGAAGCGGGCCGTCATGCCCAGGTGCAGCAACAAAGGCTGGGGGGGCTCTGGCCTGGCCCACCACACATCAGCTCCCTGGCTCCTCGGGTGCCCACGCTGGCTGCGGCTGGCCGGTGGGTGGGGCGCACGGAGGGTCTCGATGGGAGGCAGAGTCTGCGGAGGGGAAAGCGACGCCATGAACCGCTGCTGGCACAGCGTGGTCCTCCCACCTCTGCCCACGGGAACCCCCTTGAACCTGCCCTCGGGGCAGCAGGCTCTTTCCTGCTAGGCCAAGACACTGCAGAGACAGGCGAAGGCCACAGTCTGTGCGAGGCTGGGGGGTCAAACCTCTTCCTGAGCCCAGTGTGACCCTGGGCTGAGCCTGGGCTGGAGGGAAGACTCCCTCCAGCCAGGATCGTTTAGGGGGAGGTCCCAGCAGGAGCCATGGCAGTGCCCAGCCCCATCTCCACCTGCGGGACCTACACTGAGGATGAAGAAGGAGACTCCTTTTCTCTCCTGCTGCTGGGAGCAGATGCCCATAGAGAGAGCAGGGGGTGCCCACAAAGGTGCCCGGAGGGAGGCAGGGCTTGAGGTCCGTGTCCAGGGCTGGAAGCTGCAGCCAAGTGTGTTTAGGTTGGATCTGGGGAGACACTTCACTGCCCGAGCAGGGTGGCCGCGGGGAGATGCCAGGGCTGGGGGACGCTGCAGCACGGGAGGGTGCAAGGCGAGGCTGGACGGGCGCTGGGCGAGAGGGTCGAGGTGCAGCGATGCCCGTGCTCTGCTGGGGGTGTCCCAGGCTGCTGAGCTGTGCTGGTTGCACCCCCCCCCATTGCTGCTCCATGTATCAGGGGGTTGGAGCCCCCCCAGAGGCACTGAGTGCTGGCTGCAGCCCAAGATGGGGCTGTGCCTGGATTATGCCAGTGCTCCTGCTGGGACTCAGCCCCGCAGGGCCCTGGCTACAGGGGGCAGGCAGGGATTTGCCCCCAGCTCAGCATGGCTCAACTGGGGGGATTTCCCCTCCCTCTGCAGCGGGGACACGGCCTGGGTCTGGGCTCTCTCCAGCGCCCACCACCTCCCCTGGCAGCAGCAGGACATTGGTGGCTGCAGCCCCCCGGGATCCCGGGGGCGGGGACGGGGCAATGCCCAAGGCTGTGTCAGGGGTGACGGTGTCGTGCGGCTCTGAGGTCGCACACGGGGTTTGTCTGGGTGTGTTCAGATTGGGCTGATCCTGCCTTGGGCTGGACGTGACCTGCAGCTCCCTGCCAGCCCGCGGCTCCAGGACTCTGGCCACCTCCATGGAGGAGCCCGACTTGCACAGTCAGGGCAGAGGATGGGTCACCAGCCAGCCAACACTAGGCTCTGCTCTCCCCCCACCTCCACGCCAGAGCCAGCTTGGCCTCATTGTGGGAGGGGGTCAGAGCAGTGCCGGGCAAGGCGGGAGGCAGCTGTGCAGTGCAGGGGACACTTGGCCTCTGGGTGTCATCGGAGCACTGTGTTGAGCCAGCAACCGGACATCCAGAGCCAGCTGCAGCCCCAGAGCCCGTGACAGCTTGCCCCAGGGAGGGCAACACCGATGGGGCCCTCTGGTCTTACCCTGAGGCAAGCCCACAAAGTGGCTGAGGGCCTGGGGTTGGCCTGGCTCCGCTCCCTGCCTGGCCAGGGCCTCAGTGGTGCCTTGCCCTGGGGAGAACTCCCACTTGTCCGTCCCCCCGAGCTGAAACCCGAAGAGAGTCAAGGCCTGAAAGAGGTGCCCCCATCGCCCCGTCTTCCCTCTGGACTGCTTATTTCGAGATCCCGGATGTGAAGCTAGGGAAATCCCTCACCCAGCAGGGTTCGACCTGCCCCAGCCGGGCACGTGCATGTGGTGCCCATTTCCCCTCTCTGTCCAGGCTCTCCCCTTCCCGCCCCAGGCAGCCCAGGCTTACCTTGAACTTGTAGCTCACAGCTGGAGGCTCGTGGGGCCTTCCCAGCCCAGAGGAGCTCGCTGACTTCTAAAAAGAGGGAGGAGGTTGCAGTGAGTGGAGTAGAGGGAGAAGCACAGGAGTGCAGGTCTCGCTTGCCTCAGCTGGGCTAGCAGCAGCCACTGCAGCTGCCCGGTGACTCTTGGACAGGTTTCAGGGAGCGGCTGCCCGGCCACTGCCAGAGCTGACGCTCTGGTCACACAGATGCGTCCTTACTGGTGCCGGTGGCTCTGGCCCACCCTGGGCTTCCAGGTCCCTCTCGGTGATGGTGAACTCCGTGGCCTGCCGTGCTCTCTCCGCTTCCCATGCCTGCAACGCTGCCTCGTAGGTGGCCAGTGCCTGCTGCGAGAAAACCTGCGGGAACAATGCAGGGGGCTGAGGAGCAAGGAGGGGCTGAGGTACCCATGCCATACGGCGTGAGATGTGGCACAGCATCCGGGCGACTTCCTCCAGCCCTGTCCTGAGCTAGCGGGTACCGGATGATAACAAGGGGGTGAGGAGGAGGATATCAAACTCCCTCCTGCCATGGGGATCCCTCTGGCATCCCGGCCCAGAAACTGACCTACTCAGCAGAGCCCTCATTCCACGGTCATCCCGTGAGGACTGCAGACGTGGACGTCACCACGCACGGTCAGACCCCACTACAGCTGAGGTCAGGCAGGGATTTACCCCCCTGCTCAGCATGGCTCCGCTGGGGGGATTTCCCCTCTCCCTGCAGCGGGGGCACGGCCTGGGCCCGGGCCCTCTCCAGCGCCCACCAACCCCCTGGCAGCAGCAGGACATTGGCAGCTGCAGCCCCCCTGCTTTCCGGGGGCAGGGGTGGGGGTGATGCCAGGGTCTGTGTTGGGGCAATGGTGTCGTGCGGCTCCAAGGTCACACATGGGTTTGTCTGAGCTGGTTTGGATGGGACTAATCCTGCCTCAGGCTGTATGTGACCCCACAGCTCCCTGCCAGTCCCACTTCTTTGGGCTTTTTCTTTCCTCTTCCCTCCCCTCCATCCCTCTCTCCCTTCTCCGGCTTTTCCAGCCCTTCCTTCCTCTCAGCCTCGAGCGAGCCCTGGCCCCTCCCGCACCTCACCTCGCACACCAGGTCCACGGTATAGAAAGCGGCGGTGCCCAACGCCTGCAGTGTGAGGATGCAGGGGACGCTGTCCCCGGGCAGCACACTCCCTCTCTCTGGTGAGATCTTCAGCAGCTGCAAGCAGAGAGGAATCAGACCCTGCCTGGTATCCAGGGCACCTCTGCTGGTTCGGGGTACTCCCGTGAGCTGTCAAGCATGTGCCCTCGAGTGAGGACTAACAGGGTTCCCCATGTGCAGGGTGACAGGGGCCAGGCTTGCCCATTGCCGCACCGCTCCAGCTCCGAGCTGATGCGACTCTAGTGAATTCAAACCTTCAGGCTTCTCCCATCTGGCTTCCTCCAAGAGCTGGTGTCTGCCCCGTGCCCCCGTCCTTCCCCTCAGGTTTCTAATTCCTTCTCTTGTCTGCTTGTGCCAACACAACCCTGCTCAGACTGCTGGCCCAGCGTCCAGGCACAGCCAGGCTTGGACAGGGCTGATCCTGCCGTAGGCAGGGGTCAGACTAGACATGACCTCCGGACGTCCCTTCCAGGTCAGCTCCTCTATGATTTCAGCTGACAGGGGCAGTCAAAGTCCAGGGCCATGCCTGGCTGGAAGAGAACGACAGAGTTGGGTCAAGCGGCCGCAGGAGAGGGAGGAGGACTCACCGCACTGTCGTGACCTGTGCCGACGTGCCAGGTGAAGCTGAGGGGCTGGTCCTCGGTCGGGTTGTTGAGGAAGAAGAGCCGGCTGGTCTTGCTGTAGACCGGGATGTTCCCGAGGCAAATCCTGGACTGGGACAAGAAGGCTGCCTGGGGGGAAGACACTGGGCGTGACCTGCTGCCTTGCTCCGGCCACACTTTCCCACTGGTGGTGGGCAGCACAGCTGGCAACATCTGCTTGCCCCATTCAGTTGAGGCCATTTGAGGCTGGATGCCCATCCTGGCCTCTGCAGGGGTGGGCACCAGCTGTGGCAGCTGCTTCTCCACCTGCTTTACCCAGGCTGGAAATAATGCCCCTTTCCAGGCTGGGCTGTGGCCTCAAGGAGCGACTGGGGAGGCCAAGGTCCCTCCAGGGCAGGTAGAGCTGACAACAGCCCATCCTGACCCACTCCTGTGAGAGCTGGAAAGGCCCAGATTCAAACGGGCTGAGCCTTGGAGAGTCTTTGCTGGTGCTAGGAGCCCCCTGGCTTGAGGGAAAACTCAGAGCAAGAGCACCAAATTCAGCCGGCTGTTAACACTCAGCAGGA